AAAGCCAGAAATCCCAGGGAACTCCCTGACATTCTTCATAACATCGAAGAATCCAAGAGTTGGATGAGAGCTAAGAGGTCATTCAATTTGATGCCTGTCCAAAGTATGAGATTCTTCTACAGCATTACCATGAAGAGGTCAACCAGCCCCTGAATGAAGACTCTCTAGTGACAGGCAAAATGCCTGTTCATTTTTCACTATCCATCTCTGCCTTCCCCACTCCAGGGGCCATGTTCTCAGCAGCTTCTGTCCAAAGAGCCTGATGATGTGGAATGAGGAAAGGTGGTGAAAGACTAGGGAGAGGAGATGCCATACTTTAAAACAGTGTCAGCAAAACAATTTAGTTCAAACCAATCAAGCCCTACTGCCCCCCAGAAGTGTGCTAGTCTGTGCTAGAAAGCCACAGAAGATACTGGGAATTTGCATTCTCTTGAGGGAAGATCCAATGGTATCTAAATAAGTAAATAAATACAAAGCATTTTCTGGAAGGAAAGAGAACTAAACACGGGAAGGATAAGGAAAGGCTTAGAGTAAGAGATCGCACCTGAGCTGAGCCTTCAAGGGGTGGAGAGGAGGAGTTTGCACATTCCAGAGCTGGAGGACAGTCTGTGCAAAGGCGTGGGATTAGGAGATGGGATCTCAAATTTGGAGAGCAGCTGGTAGGCTAGTCTGGAGGATACATGGGATGAGAGAAGATGGGATGGGGGATAGGGACTACACATGGAATTTCATTAGTATAAGGAACTCTCAGTGAGGAAATTCCCTCTACCAATACAGATTGGCACCTTCTCTGCATCTTAGTGTTAAAGATTTGCTTAGAAACCAAGAGGTTAAGTGATTTGCTCAGGGTTACACATCAATATCTGAGTCAGGATTTGAATTCAAGTCTTCCTTTGAGGCTGGATCTCTAGGGGACAGTCTGATTGTGGAGGGCTTTGTATGCTAGGCTGAAGAGTCTATATTGTGCCCTAGAGACATTATGAAACCCTGAAGTTTTTTTCTGAGTCAGGGAGAAACACAGTCTGACTTATGACTTATGATAGTTTGGCAGCTCTGTGACAGGGTAGAACCAGGAGGGGAGGGACTGGGAGCAAGGAGCATAATTAGGAGGCTGTTACAGTAGGGCCGATGAGGATGTGGAGAAAGAACTGAGTTAATTACATTTACAAATCTACTACCCTCTCATGCAATTGTGGGATTGAGGGTAGAATAGCCATATTATGCCTTTCTAGACAGCAACTTCCCTATTAAATTTGGCCACTTTAAGCCCCAAACTAAAATCTTTCTTGACAATCAGTGTTGCTAGTATAAACTGAACTCTGGAAATGGACATATGATATAGTAGAAAGAACACTCCATTGGGATTCAAGGGAGCTAGATTCAAATCCTGGCCTTGCCATTAACTAATACATGTGACCTTGGGCCTTAAAATGAAAAACTGATCTCTAAAGTGTCTTCTAACTTTAAATTACACACACATACACACACACACACACATTAAAAAGTTGGTCTCTAAAGTCACTTTTAACAAATCATAAACACACATACACATACATATATATAAAATATAATGATTATAATATAATACATATGCATACATACACACATACATACATATATAGCAGCTGGGTGGTACAATAGGTAGAGCATTGAACCTGGAGCCAGAAAGGCCAGAATTCAAATGTGACCTCAGACACTTACTAGCTGTGTGATTCTGGGCAAGTCACTTCACCCCTGCCTGTATAAAGCTGGAGAAGGAAATGGCAAACCACTCTAGTAGTGTCTTTGCCAAAAAAATCCACAGATGGTCCAAAGGGTCATGAAGAGTTGGACACAACTAAATGACTAAACAACAACAACAACAACAACACACACACATACATCTACATATGTAATATAAGCTGGTAATACATATGTATATGTATATATAATATGTCGATATTGCATATACTATGGATAGTACATAGATAGATAGATAAATAGATAGATAGATAGATAGATATTCCCTCTCCTATGTTTGAGTTTCCTCACCTTTAAAACGAGAAAGTTGAATTAGGTGATCTCCAAAGTCTCTTCCAACTTTAAATCTTATATATGTGATATATATATGTGTATATATCTATCTATATATATATACACACACATACGTGTAAAATATATATATATATGAATAGTACATATAACATAATGGAATAGATAATCTATATTATTGTATTATATTACTAAATGTCTAAGGTAAGATTTGAATGCAGATCTTTCTGACTTCAAATCCTATACTCAATCGCACCATACAGCAACCCCACAGTGACAGATTGTGTGTCAGTTGTTGGAAGTTCCAAGAAGCTCATTACCAGCATTTTCACACGATAATAAATTTTTCTGCTCCAGCAACTCCCAAGGACTGACTTCCAAATTAGAGAGAGATTATGATTGCATCATTAGACAAGGTACACACAGCAATAAAATTATAGATACTTGGGAGTCTTACTTATATAATTAATAAGGACATTGCAATCAAGAAGGAGATGATGCAGTGAAATCTAACCCTTCCCCCATGATCTCATCAGGGTAACTATTTCCCATACTGACAATGATCATGGCCCCTCTGTGATTTAGTACATGGCCTTTGAGAATTACTATTATGTACATAATTGGAGTTGGGGAGGCTTTAGCAGCTGACCTAAAACTTTCTAATCTTCCGATGTAAACTGCGAAGGCACTGCCAAAGGAAGGTCCTTGGGCAAGAGTTGGTCAGGCTGGAGTATCATCTTTTTGGAATTATGGAATCCTGGAGCTGAAAGGGACCTGGAAGATCTAGTCCCCACAACACACAGGAGTCCATTCTACAACCAGCCTCCTTTGGAAGACCTTCAGTGCTCCACTTGGAGCTCACTACCTCTTGGGGCAACCCATTCCAGATAACTGCCATCATTACTGTTTTTATCATTATCAATCTGAAACCTGTCTCTAAAGAACTTCAGCCTTGGTTACCCTTTCCGCCTTTATTGCTTAATCAGCTCAGGTGCAACATTCTCATTTTCCCATTTATTAGGTCTCCCTCTTTCCTGAAATTGCTTAGTATTTATATTTACTATTGGATGCCAAGAAAAACTCATTCTTCCACATGTCAACAATTCAAATACCTGAAAGTACCTATCATGACACTCCTCAAAGATAATGAATCCTTAAATGGAATGGTGTCCAATTCCCTCACCTTCCTAGGCATTTCTCCCTTGTCATAATAATAGCTAGTACAGACTGTTAAGTTTGCAAAGCACTTTACTCATTATCTCATTTGATTGACATACTTAAGCTTATCAATTTTCTTCCTAAAATAGAGATTCCCAGAAATTAATTTAGTACTCCAGGCGTGGTTTGACCAGGGTAAAGTAAAACAAGACTAAAATTCATTTTCTGGACACTACTGTGTCTCCTTTAATACACTTCCTAGGCAGTTATTTGACCACTTAAAGGAAGACTGATACAGGGAGTCATCTGCAAAATCCTGCCTGGGCTCACTCCTCATGGTTTCATCAAGTATATCCTTATCATGTATGTAGGTCATTCTCATAAATGTTGTATAATGATGAAAAAGCAGCCATGTAGATCAGTAATTGCTTTTGTCTTTTCAAACCTTTTTGAGTAAAGAATCAGCTGTTCTCTTTTCTATTGTTATGTATGATCTCCAAGGATCCTTCCAACTCCATATTTTCCTCTTTGAGAAATTGTGAAATTGATTCCTGTGCAAATTTGTTTATTTTATAGGTGAGGGAACTGAGTCTTAGAGAAAAGAAATTGACTCAAGGTCACACAGGAAAATGGCAGAGTCAAGACTTGAGTTCTGATTCTTAGTCCAGGTACAGGGTACTTTCTACTATGCCACATGGTCTCTATGTTGTGATATAGGGTATACATACCCAAAATGAAGGGCTTAGATGATTACAGAAATGCTCATCAATAGAATATTTTCAACTCCAGCATCCTTTAAAGCGCAACTCAAATGCCACCTCCTCTTGGAAGTCTTGCCTGATGCAACTGGTTGGCATCAGCTTTCTGATGTCTTTTGGCTCTCTTATCACTTAACTTTTTAATACTGTGTATTAAACACTTGTGTATGTATACCACCTACCAAATTACAGTCTCTAAGTGGGAAGGTTCTAGTTTTATCTAAACTTTGTATCTCTCTTAGAGAGATATATCCTTTATATCTCTCCTAAACTTTTTATCTCTACCTATCACAGTTCTCTGCATACAGTCAGTGCTTAATTAATGTTGAATGAATGAACAACTTTTACAGATTAGTTGGTTTGGCCTTTCACTAGATCCTAAAATAGAGGATTGCAAGAGCATTGAATTCCAATTCAGGAAACTTAGGTTGGAGTCTTGGCTCTGTTGTTTATTAACTTAATAACAATGAGAAAGTCTCATTATCTCTCTGAGTCTCAGTCTCCTCAGCTATGAAATGTAGACAACCATATTGCATTAGCTAACTCAGAGTTGCCTGGAAGAAGGTGCTCACAGATGTATAAAAGACCATGTGACTATTAAAAACATGAAGAATGTCAGGCTTTTATGGATTTGGAAGAGTAGGGTTCTATTCCAGACCTTTCCAATACCTATTTATGGCTTTATCCAAGTCATTTTCTTTTCTGTGTCTAAATTTCCTCATCTATAAAATGGGTCTAATCATATTCATCCTTCATATCTCACAACATGGTTTTGAGGATAGGCATTTTGTAAATTGATGTAAATGGGAGTAGAATTAGTCATTGGTATTTAGAAGAAGGTATGGGATAGGCAGCCAGAACCTTGGGCATCAGAGCTTTGAGTGATGGAGTAGGAGGTAAAGAATAGGAAATCGGAAGGAAGGGAAAAGAACAAGGACATATTGAGAGGTATTCATTGAAATGATCAGTAACCTCAGTGAATTCTGCTCCTAACGAATGTAGTCAGGTCACAGATGTGAAAATTGTCACCAGTCACTTAACAGATTGTCTTACCAGAGTAGTGATTCACGAGGTCTTCCAGGCACTGGAAGGTGAGTCTTGGAGAAATATAATACCAGTTGTTGGGTAAACGGAAGATGCGATAATGCTTCACTTGTCTGTGCCTCACTGATAGTGAATAAAAACCTGGAGGGATGGGAGAAAAAAAGTAGTATTTAATTTGTTTTCATTCAAGAGGAAGGACAAGTAAATTGTTTCATCTTAGACTGATGACTTAGATTTTTTTTCTGAACTATTCAAAGATATATTTTTGGATCACAGTGAGTTCTTACTTAGTGAAATCTAAACTGTCCTAACAGTTGGTACCCAAAGCTGGTTACTGCTGGCCATTTAAGCACATCTGGCAGTGATCTTAGACTGTATTTAGGGCCTGAATTCTTCCACTGAGAGAAATAACTATTTGTGATATTAAGTAGAGTTAAGTACATGTAGGAAAAAGAACCAACTTTTCTTCGGGTTTTGAGACCAGCATGTGCAGCATTCCATTTTCTTTACTTCTTAATTTCATTTTTTCTTTCTTTCTTTCTTTCTTTCTTTCTTTCTTTTCTTTCTTTCTTTCTTTCTTTCTTTCTTTCTTTCTTTCTTTCTTTCTTTCTTTCTTTCTTTCTTTCTTTTTCTTTCTTTCTTTCTTTCCTTCTTTCTTTCTTTCTCTCTCTCTTTCTTTCCTTTCTTTTTTTTCTGTCCTTCCTTCTTTTCTTTCCTTTCTTTCCTTCTTTCTTTCTATTTTTAAGAAGATTTGAATCATGTAGGAAGGGGTCCCAGCCATTAGATTGCTATCTAATAGTCTATCTTGAAGCCTTACCCTGGTAGATCACCAACTCTGCCAGCACCATACTTACTTTGCCCACATGATGTTTCCCTCCTTAAGTTTTGTTAATATTCACAGTTGAGAGGGGAGTGAAATGGCAACCTGTGTCATATTTAGAATCCCACAATTTCAGAGTTGAAAGGAACCTCAGATCTCTTTAAGTCCAGAGATGTCAAACATGCCATGGCCAAAACCAAATTAAAATGTAATTGAGAAATATTTAATGAAATAAGTAAAATACACTAAAATGTGGATGATATTAACATATGATGTTTCTAAGTCAATATATGACCGGCAGGGATCTTTGTGAATGGCTTAGTAGCCCCTGTTTCTATTTTACTTTGTTACCACTTTTTTTAGTCTGACCCCTATGTGAAGCAGGAATCTTTCCTTACAATATCCCTAATAAGTTATCCAGCTTGGGCTTGAAGATCTCTGAGACAGAGACCACCACCTCTTCCTACCCCACTTCTTTCAACCCCAGGTTGTCAATGTTAACACTAAGAGGCCATGTCAAAGGAGCCATTGACTTGGAGACAAGAGCTTCCAACTCTAGTTATACTAGTCACGTGACCTTGGACATGTCACCATTTTGCCAGAATGCAGTTTCACAAAAACACAGATCCTAGCATGTTAGAGCAGAAGGAGCCATCAGAGCTCATCTAGTCTGACTTCGTAATTTCACAAATGAGGAAACTGAGTTCAAAGAAATCAGAGTCAGGACCTGGACTCAGCCTTGTTGACCCCAAGTGCAGTTCCTATTACTACACGGCTTCCTCTTCAAGTTAACTTTGGTGGTTCCTCCCGCTACTTCTTCTCATTTCCTATTTATGACTTCCCATATTTTAACTTTAGCTTTACTTTTTCTTTTTTGAAAACTTTGTTGATACTCCTCTATTTTCTTTACATCACTTGCATTTCCAAATGACTTCCCTCCCTCACCACAAACCCAGCACCCAATAGCATTTTCCCTTGTAGCAGATTCAGTACAAGCAAGCAAATGTTTTGTTTTGTTTTCAATCACAAATTAGCCATATCTAAAAAGAATGCTTTACCTCGTGCCTCTGTGCCTAAATTTAGCCTTACTTTTTGCTGCGCACCTGGGTGACATGGTGGCAAGCATCATAGCAACATAGCAACAGATAGTTAAACAAACTATGAATCCATTATGGCTATCTTGATAGCCAAGAGATTTAGCAACCAGCTCGAATTGGAATTTGTCACTCAAACCTAAACAAGTCTCATGGCTTCTTCTCTGAATGACTGACCATTGTTATATTATTTTGTACATGTTCTTCTGCTTTTGAGAAGTTGATAGATATTAATGAAATAATATTTGGACTTATTTTATTATTTTTACTTGTATTTTATTATTAACACATTTTAAATTAAGTTAATTTAAAATAATTTCTAAAAGCAAAGCCACTGTGAGAGTCAGTGAGTCAATAAATATTTATTGAACACCTACTGTGTGCCAGACAGGGTGCTAAGCACTTGACTTGAGTTCTAAATCGATGATCCCATGATATTCATGCTAACAAGTATCAATTTGGGGTCCATTTTGCTGTTTACTTTGACAAAATGAGAAAAACAAGAACCTTAAAAAGATTTGTCTTTCTGTTTGAAGCCGTAATCACCATATTCAAAAAACAGTGACCTCATAATTTTAGCAAAAATGTCTTTTGTGCAGAGTACTTTGGCAGGTGCAATAGAGGATGCAAAGATCTGAGAAACTTCAGTCCAGACTCTTATGAAACTTAAGATTTGTTCAAGGCAGAGACCCAAGTGCAAATGTCTATAATGTGTAAAAAGTGTGCCAGAGAGAAGAAAAACAAATATTTTGTGAAGTCCAAGAGAAGAGGATTGTTACTGATTGAGGTTAATCAGGGATTTGGTTTTCATCATTTATTTGTCGTTGTTGTTGATGTTGTTAATTTTAAGAATGTTGTCAAAAATGAATATCAAGAGGTGCTCTGTGATAATGTCTTCTATTTGTTATATGAGCAGATCAATTTTGATATCAGGGGATAGTAGGATCTTGAAGTTGTTTCAAATCTACAAAACGAGGGGAAAAGTTAGACTAGATTATCTCTATGACTCCTGATACCTCTAAATCCCATGATCCTCTCTGACATTGGGACCCCCAAGACCTAAGATTCCTCATCTGTAAAATGAGCATGTTCAGTCTGTAAGGTCCTTCACAGCTAGAAGCATTTATATCAATGACTCTGTATAAGCCTAGTCACATCATCTGTCACTCACTTTTTGCCCAAACGCCACTTTATAAAACCTAGCATGTATTTTCCCAGAACATCAACGGGGCCTGAAAGTTCACGTACTGTAAGCAACCAGGGGTGACAAGTGGAAAATACATGAGAAATTTTGCATACATACCCTGAGCCTACTTCTCTGGGGACTGCTTCATTGCATGCAGGGCTGATGAACTTTATTTTTAGCACAGGTGGAGCAAGCATGCTGATGTGGAAATAATGAAAGTCAGGGCACCAGAATTTTGTGACTCCTTTGGGATTTCCATTAGCAGTTTTACTTTTGTTTTAGTTTAGTTTTTTTCATTTTTTTTGCATTGCTATATTTTGCAGATTTTGATCTTTGGAAGCAATACCATTTCGGGCTTTTAGACTCACTAATTTATCTTCTGTAAGATTCATCAGTGCCTAATACAGTATATTTCTTGAATATCATAGGTACTTGATATTTTGTTTGTGAATGGATGAATAAATGAGTTCAATTCAAGATATTTATTAAGCATCTACTATTACTAATAATAACTCAGACTTATATAGTACTTAAAGGTTTACAAAGCACTTTCCTTTAAAAAGAAACATATTTTCTACCATTCAGTTGAGGAAACTGAGGCCCGAGCTGTTAGGATGCTTATCCATGTTTTTAAGTATATAAAGCAGAATTTGAACCTAGGTTTCTTATCTCATAGAATCACAGAATTTTGAGAGTTAGAGGGGATCTCAGCAAACATCTAGTCAAGCCCCCATCCAAGAGGAATTCCCACGGCAAGACTCCATGGTATAGAGAGCCATTTTGGCCATTTTTTCTGCCATTTTGACCTCTATGTTCTAATACTCTCTGGTGTTCGACCCCATCCAGTTTTCCCTTTCTATATTCCAAGGTCCTTGCAGTGCTGGCATTCTCTGGTCTGAGGTTTCTTCTGGCTCTAATGTTCTATATTCTAAAGTCCCTTTCAGAACCAGCGTTCTACGGCTCTGTTTTCCCTCCCCATACCACACTGAGTGTGGAGTCTAGAACCTTACATTTGAATCCTAGCTCTGCCACCTGTGTGACCTTAGGCAAGACATTTCATTTATCAGTGCCTTACTTTTCACATCCATAAAATTAGAGGTGAGAAGGTACGTCAGGGATGTTCTAGAGTCAACTATAACTGGCTCACGAGAGCCAGTTGTTAAATTCAGTGTATTTACACATCAACAATCCAGAAATACTACAAATCAAGGCTTGATTTATTGTTTTACTGATTGTCTAGATTTAGGAAAATGGTGGAGAAAATGTTAATAATACATATTAAACTGAAAAGCATGTTGTGTGATTAGTTGTTAAATATTGATCAGCATGCCCCTGGGATACTTGACCCCTTAAAATCCTTTTTTAACTCTAAAATCCTAGAGTTCCTTTTTTTCCCTCCAGTTACAAATAATTGCATAGAAAACATACTCTGAAACAGAGTTTTCTGGTTTTCTCTGCTTTGCATAATTAATATAAGGCCTTATCTAATGAATACTAGTACTATAATCCTTTTTTTCAAGATCCTACTATCTCCATCTTCACCCTTACCAACTGGTAATTGGCACATGTAAGAATAATAATGATGTACAAAGCCAGAAATGATCAGCTTGCTTGATCTACTTCCCTAAGGCTGACCTAATCACAATGGGCTCTTTTTCTCACTTCTAACTCATTCCATGTTCTACAGTCTACATCGTAAGGCCTCCTCCGACGCTGTCATTCTGTGTCTTATGTTATGCCCTTCTGTGGCTTTTTCCTCTTCTGCCATTTTGACCTCTATGTTCTAATACTCTCTGGTGTTCGACCCCATCCAGTTTTCCCTTTCTATATTCCAAGGTCCTTGCAGTGCTGGCATTCTCTGGTCTGAGGTTTCTTCTGGCTCTAATGTTCTATATTCTAAAGTCCCTTTCAGAACCAGCGTTCTACGGCTCTGTTTTCCCTCCCCATCTTGTTTACTGCTCTGCTCTCTAAATTTCCAGTTCTTCTTACTTTCGTAAGTGCCAGCTGCTTTAGGCAGTGTGTAGGTTGCTCATTAGCTTACCAGCTCTGGATATGGTTTCCAAAGGTGTAAGAGGATGGGACAAAGAAGGACCATAATGAGTCAAGCGGGAAAGAAACTTATAAAAATCTGATAACAGCATGGAAAAAAGCACCCTTTGGTCTTCCTTACCTTTCTTAGTTTCACTTTCTCTGATCATGAAGGAGCCTATCTTTGTGTCAGGCAGCAGTAAAAGTTCTTCAGCTTTGTCTCTTCCTAATCCTTCAAAGAGCCAACTGGAAAACAAAAAAGTTTCCATTAAATTCTTTCTCATTCTCTGTATGTTCAAGCTCGCTCTACCCTCAAGTCAGAGTAGTAAAGTGGCACGATGGAAAGAGCACTGGGCTTGGAGTCAGGAAGACCTGAATTCAAATTTGCCCTAAGACACTTACTAGCTGTGTGACCCCAAACAAGTCACTTAACCCTGTTTGCCTCAGTTTCCTCATCTGTAAAATGAGGTGGAGAAGGAAATAGCAAGCCATTCCAATATCTTTGCCAAGAAAACCCCAAATGGGGTTTCGACGAGTCAGACATGACTGAAGTAACTGTACAAAGAACTCTCATACCACTCGTCCCTAGAACTCAAGTCAAAATCAACTGAGTCCAAGACCAAATTATGAAAAAGTTAGAATCTACAGACTCTGACCAAATGAATTTTACAGCTTTACAAATGGCAAAAGTTAACTGATGGGTGCTCCCTGGTTCCCAAAGACCAAAACACTTTGTAAACTTTAATGCATTATATAAATGTAAGTTATCCTCACTATTGTTATGATATTCTCCCCTTGATCATAATTCTAAAGCTGAAAAGGACCTCACAGGCCATCTGATCTATTCCCCCCTCATTTTACTGATGAGGAAACTGAGGCTCACAGAAAATACATGACTTGCTCAAGGTCACAAAGATAGCAAGTATCATAGGTAGGACTTGAAACCAACTCCTTTGACTCCAGAGCCAGAGCCCTTTCCACTATACCACACTGTCTCCTTTCTTATTCCTACATAACAAATCTATGAATCTTTTAGCCAGCTGAGTAGGACCCATAAAGCTATGATTTAGCAATTTCATTTTCCTATAAATTAGATAGTAGATAGAGCTTTTAACTTGCTTAAGAAGACAACCTCTCTTTAAATACTTTTAATAGCACTCATCTGTGCACCAAGAGTTCACACACTAAATTCAAATGATCTTTTTTTTTGGCAGAAATGGCTCAGACCAATACTTGGTCATACTTTATTAGTAAGTGGTTTGTGTTACAATGTGCGATAAAAAGGTTACAACACAGTATTTCATAAACATATAAATTCACACTTTCACATCATATCTAAGGCATCAGAGGAGAATGCTGGCAAAGGACATAACTATTTGTCTATCCTACATGAAAATCCTCCTTTAATGCTTCACAGTGGCATGGCAGTGACCTTGGGTTCTCATACACCATGCTGGTGGAGGACAGGTTTTCTCAGATCCTACTAAGCTGGGCAGGCCTCAAGTACAAGCCCAGGAATAGACTTTATGTGTCTATTATATGAAGTTCAGACTAGTTAAATTTGGGGAAATTTATCACCAAAAAGCCACCCACCTTTTGGTAAGCATATATACATACATATATTCACAGATACAGACAGACAGACATAAAATACAGTTATTCGTAACTTAGCTTAGCAGAAAAATACATGCATGAATAGGTACCAAATAGAAAGCTATTGAATTAAATTGAACTGAATAATCATTACTGAAAATGTATCTAGCTACATTCTTCAGAGAAAATGTAAGACCTTTTTAGACATCATCTTATGAGATCTCCATGGTAGCAGGCAATGCAGATTGCCAGGATCTTCTTTAAATGTAAATGCAGTACTTTTGGAGACCAGCAAACAAACATTCTCTCACTTTGTTTTTTCTTTTACTTCCTTTCTTTCTTTCCTTCTTTCTCTTCTCTTTCTTTCTTCCTCCCCCCCTCTTCTTTCTTTCTTCCCTTTTCTTTTTTCCTTCCTTCCTTCTTTCTTTCCTTTCTTCTCTGCCTTCTCCTTACTTTTCTCCTCCATGAAGGCTTGATGAAATGTAATATATAGTAGAGTCTATATGTAATATACACTAATATATGTAAGTATAGTGATCTTTATCTTGTCCAGTTAAAATGCTCAGCTTGGATAGTGTCAGCTGGGAATTCCTATAATTCCACGTTGTTCCTGCTACTCCGTATTCTTTCTCAGAGTCTAGAAGGCTGCCACCACAAGTAAATTATGAATCCTTGAAAATGGTATAATAATAATAGCAGCTAGCATTTTATATAGCATCTACTATACGCCAGGCACTGTGCTAAGTGCTTTATAAATATACTATCTCATTTGATCCTCACAACATCCCTGGGAGGTAGGTGGTATTATTATCCCCATTTTACAGCTGAGGAAACTGGGGCAAACAGAGGTTAAATGACTTGTCCAAGGTCACACAGCTAGCAAGGGCCACATTTGTACTCAGATCCTCCTGACACCAGACACAGAACTCTATCCACTGTACCACCTACCACAAAAAGTACAGACTGCAGATTTTACCTTGTTTTATTTTCCGTCCATGTTATTGTCCATTTCCAGGCTATCATTTGCCTGGTCAGAAGCTAGAGAATTGCAATCTGGGTGTGTTTACTGCTGTATAATTCTAAATTCTAGATATGTAATTGATTTTTAGAACACATCATTTCCTGTAAAGTCCCTATAAGCTAAAACAAAACAAAACAAAATTGCGTCATGACTGAGCTGGGTTGGTGGAGTTTAGGAAGTTTACTCACCCATGGTAAACTTTGGCCACACACATTCCAGGAATATAACTTTCTCGACCAGTGCTGAGGGAAATTGCTCTCCACCAGCCTCCTTCACTGTACAAATAGCAACACAAATAATCAGATTTAGTCTAAGGAAGATCATGTTGCTAGGAAATGACGGGGCATAATCATAATAGATGTCTATGAGGTGCTTTCCATTTTGCCAAGGGCTTCATAAACATGATCTAATTTAATCTTCACAGCCTTGTAAGGTAGGTGCTACAGGTATTATTATTCTTCACAATTTACAGGATCAGAGAGTTCAATAACTTGCTAATCGTCATGGACTAGTGAGTATCTGAGGCAGGATTTAATCCCAGATCTTCCTGATTCCTAATCTAGCACTCTCTCCATTATGTGACACTGCTCCTCACCTCCATTACCATAGAACCATAGCTTCCTAGAGTTGAAAGAAACCTTGAAGATGATCAAATGCAAACCATCAGCCAATCAATCAACAGGCCCTGGTTGGGTACATCGTAGTGAAGATTCTTTCAGGGACATAGGTTGGAGTAGATGGCTGCTGAAGCTTCTTCCTACTCTGAAATTTCTGTGATTCTGTGATATTGCCAAAGTCAGATGCGTTTTTCTCTTTTCACCAATAGTGTTGAGCTGTTTAGTTAAATGGGAAGCTCAGCCAATGGCTTTGTTTTCTCCCCATAGTTTAATCATTTTATTTTATTTTAGCCTAAAGAAGGGTGGCATGGTATTGGAGAAAGAAGGCTGAATTTTGATCCAGGAACCCTGGATTCATATCTCAGTCAGTTCTGACACTCAGTAGCCATGTGGCTATGAACAACTCACCGCTATGTGCTTCATCTGTGTAATGGAGATCATGCTCATTTTATGGGCAAGCTCAGAGGGCTGCTGTGAGAAGTTATTTATGCTTTAAAGTGCTTTAGGAATGGCAGTTATTTTCAGAGTACCTGGTGGTTCCTGCGAAGGAAACTTACTCTGAAATTACACGTAGTTTCTCTCCTCGGCGGAATATAGGTGGGCTGATGTCAGGAGATGGATAATCACACAGAACAGCAAGGAAGTCGTTGTCTAGTCCTAGGGGAAAACAAAAGTTGTTTTTAAGAGGCTCATCTAACCATTCATTCAATTCAACAAATCTCTATTACTAGTGTTCTATGTATTAGGTACTAGGGGATATACAAAATTGAGATGTCACAGTACAGTCTGAACCAATCTAATCCAGTAATAATTTATTAGCTTCTTACTGTATCAGAGGTTCTGTGCAAGGAGTTGGGGATCCAAAGACAAAAAAAATGAAACAAAATAAACAATTTTAAAAACTCCTGCATGCATGGAGCCACTATATGAGACATAGTCCCTGCCCTTAAGAAGCTTACATCCACCAAGAGAATGGCATGAAATAGCCTTGGTAAATGAGATTCTACAACTGACCACATCTTTACAGTCACAGAATGACCTGAAAGATTCAGAGAATACAAGAGTTTCTTGATATTGACTTAAAAAACAACAACATTCTAATCAATAGAGCAAGACAAAGCCTGAAAGGTTTTTCTTTAAGAAGATGTGTCCTACCTATAGTAGGATCAGATAAGATTCCTTGATAGGTGCAATACCAGAGACAATTTATTCTGACATTCTATGATCCTGTCTTATCACTGAGCAGTGGAAATTGCACAGATCTCCTTTGAGCATCCCACTTGTGTTTAATCATATAAGTTCTCTAGAAGCCCACCCCCAAGCCTAGCCTGAATTCCAACTCCTACAAATTCAGTAATTTCTCTTGTCCAGTGTTCTTCACAAATGAAGAAAGCTGTATAGCACCCTCCTTGCAATGATACTGTGTTTTGTGTGTAGTCGCTCCTCTCAGCAGAGTGGAATTTGAAAATTAAGCATTAAGTATTATACTTTGGAGCTGCCTTCACACACACACACACACACACACACACACACACACACTGAATTTTTCCACCAGGCAAGGCATAGAAATCCCAGTATATTAGAAAGGTGCTCTCTGTGGCCTTTTCAAATTAATTTCCCAAGATGGAGGGACTATGGAATATGCACGTCCCCAAGGGCCGGTTCCTTCCTTTTATAAAAGATGGCTTTCGTGGTGTCCACACTTTAGAATCATCGTCTACATCAAGCCAACCCAATCAAGAAAAAACAAAATAGTTTTGGAATTTGTAGAAGAGGATTCTGCTGCTAAGGGGTCTAAGGAGTCAGATCTAGCTGTACACCTCTGAGCAAGTCATTTTACCTCTCTGGGTTTAGTCCTCTTATCAGCAAAGTGGGAGTGGGGTGGGGTTACACTCAGGTGATTTCTAAGCCACATTCCAACTTGAAAATCCCATGACTCTATGATTCTAAGGGAGTAATGGAAAAGCATCATGAGGTAGGTTTATAGAACTTAAAGCTAGAAGGAACTTTAAAGATTACATAATCTTATCTCTGTATTTTACAGATAAGGTAACTGGGGCACAGAAAGGTAAAGGGACTTGTTTTTCATCACATAGGCAACAGGGAGCAAATCCAGGGCTTGAATTCAGGTTCTTTGACTTCAGATCCCCAGCTGTTTCCAACACACTCAGATTCTTTTTTTTTATTTGGGGAGAATTGCTGTCCTTTGTAGAGTAACTATTGATTCTTGAAGTTTTGAGAATTAGTAAAAATTGGCATATAGATAGATTAACTCACATCATTCATTTTAAAACAATTATGTTATTCTGAATAAGAATACCAAATAACAGCTCCAGTTTCACATCTCCAACTGCCTACTGGACATATCCAACTGGGTATTTCATAGATACCTTAAATTCAACATGTACAAAACTGAATAATCTTTTCTCCCAAACCCTTCCCCCTTCCTAACTTACCTATTCCTCTTTAGGGTACCAACATCTTCCTAGACACCTAGGCTCAAACCTAGGTGTCATTTTCAACTCTTTACTCTCTTACTGTCACTCCCATGTCCAATCTGTTGCCAAAACCTATTGATTTTTATCTTTGTAACATCTTTCCCATATATCCCTTTCTCTCCTCTGACACTGTCACCACCCTGGTGCAGCCGTCATCACAACACACACGGACTATTACAATAGCCCATTGGTTGATCTGCTGCCACAAGTCTCTCCCCACCCCAATCCATGCTGAAAATGCTCTCCTGTCTCATGTCTACCTCATCTTAGATAGATAGATAGATAGATAGATAGATAAGATAGATTATAATATTATAAATACATACATATATTATATATTACATAAATTCATGGGAGATAGCCAATGAAGATGTCCAGAGACAGGAGGTGGGAATGTCTTGTGTAAGCAACAGCAAGGAGTCCAGTTTCACTGGATCACAGAGTACACAGTTGTGTTTAAGGTGTAAGAAGATTAGAAAAGTGTTGGTGGGTAAGGAGTGGGAAGAAAGATTATGAAAGACCTTGAAGGACAAAGAATGATATGTATATTTGATCCTGGAGGTGACAAGCAGCCACTGGAATTTATTGATTGGAGGTATGTGTGGCGTGGTCAGTCCTGAGCTTACTAGTTGTATGGCCCTGGCCAAATCCTTTCACCCTGTTTGCCTCAGTTTCCTCATCTATAAAATGAGCTGGAGAAGGAAATGGCATATCACTCCAGTACCTTTGCTAAGAAAACCCTAAATGGGGTCACAAAGAAACAACAGAAAAACAACAAACCACAGTTAAGAAAAGACTTGACCAGCTCAATCTGTATTATGGAGTCAGTTTGTACCTGGTCCAAGGCTCTTTTAAATTTAAGTAACCATGGCATTTTTAAGAGATTTGCCAGGAAGAATAAATATTTTTAATCAAAAGTTCCATCACTATGAAATTGTGAATCTCACTGGAAAAAAAAAAAACAACAACAAAATGATAGATTGAAGAGGAAGCTTTGAGAGAGAGGTGGGCGTTTTTTAAAGCCAGAGAATTGATATGTGTGACAATAATAGAAACTTTATATAGGATGTATTCCCACACACTTGGGGTTAAACACCAGATTTAAGATTACTACACTGAAAAATTAAAATAGTTCAGGCTCGAAACTGCTTGAACCTCAATTTCTAACATAAGCACGTCCCCCAACCTTGCAGGACATCCAAAGTATCTGTAAGCTTGGATGGGTGACAAAACTAATTCAAACATTTCATCCTGAGTTAAGGAATTATAAAAAGGTTCCCTATTCATTATCTAGTCAAATAAAAAACTTGGAGACAAATGCATTGAAATTATATGAAGAAGTGTTCTATTTCAGCTTAATTAAGCTCAGCAAATATTTATTAAGTGCTTACTGTGTGCAGGAGTACATATGGCCTAACTCAGTGTCAAAGCTGATAAATATGCCAACAAAGGGAAAAGATGAAGACAATACATGAATCAGAGTTCTGACTACACTGTTGGGAAGGATAAGACTATGTTGGCCTGTATTAGACCAGCTGTCATTTTAACATTTGATTAATTACAAAACCTTGGTCTCTGCTCAGAAATCCGACAAAGAAAATTTAAAAAACACTTGTAGAAATTCAGGCCCTTCATTTCCCACTGGCATTTATGGCTTCACTGAATGTGAAGCATCTAAGCTCAACTGATCTGGGCAATAACATCATAAACTGGAATTTAATTAATCAATGAATTTGCTAATTCTGACATCCCATGATTTCACGATATAGCCCAATGGCCACAGTAACATGTATAATTTTTTAACAATAGATTTCAAGGTCTAGATCAATCAATAGGGATTTAAGTGCCTACCATGTGTGAGATACTATATCAGGTGCCACAGACCAAAAATGCTCTCTAGCCAAATAATTCTGAGGAACACTGATTTAGTGGAAAGAACACTAGTCTAGAAGTTAAAGCAGCTAGGTGGTGCAGCGGATAGAGCCCCAGACATAGAGTCAGGAGGACCTGGGTTCAAATCTGGTCTCAGACATTCACTAACTAAGTGACCCTGGTTAAGTCTCTTCACCTTGTTTGCCTCAGTTTCCTCATCTGTAAAATGAGCTGGAGAAGGAAATGGCAAACCACTCCAGTATCTTTGCCCCCCCCCCAAAAAAACCCTGAAATGGGGTCATGAAGATCAGACACAACTGAAAACAACTAGAAGTCAAAAGACTTGGATTCAACTTCTATTCTAGTGCAGCTCTTCTACTTAACTGACTGTGACCTTGGACAACTCACTGTCCCTTTCTGAACCTCACTTTCTCCACCTGTGAAATAAAAGAATTTAACTAGATGATCAGCCATGATCAGACACACACCCTAGGGTTTAACACAGCCTATTTCCAAAGGAGATGATAGCTTAGAAGGGATAGGAAACTGTCAATAATGGAATTCTGAAGATAATATGAGAAACAAGTCCACAGAGGAGGAAATGGGGAAATTTTCTTAAAAGATCAATGTAGATCACAGGAAATTCATTGATCAAATTATATTTTTAAAAGACATGCACAGAACAGGGAACAGAAAGTACAAAAGGGACCTATATCAGGAGTGCAACAAAAGGAGTGTTTGGGAGAGGGACGTTAAAGCTATGTTGAGGGAGCGAGAAGAGTCAAAGAGGGGAAAGAACCAATTCTCCAGCAGGAGGGTGATGATAACTGATAAAGGAGGCAAAGATGTGTCACTTAATTTTGCTTCTGTTTCTTCTACCAAGAATAACCAGTTTCCTCATCTTAAAATGGGAGGGACTCTAAGCTCTCTCTCACCTCTAAAGTTATGGTGTTTGGACTGGAATGTCAAGAACTAAAATGTTTAATAAGGAGCGGATGCCCAAGAGACTAAGAAGGGTGGTATTTAGGAAGCATGTTGCCTTTAGTGAATCCAAGTCACTTAGCCATGAAGAGCTGCATCCTGTGGTTCTGACAGAATTGACTGATGAGATTGCTCAGCCATCACACTAGTAGCAGACTTTGAAAGACTGAAGGGAAAGAGAGGGACCAGAGAATTGTAAGAAAAAAAAAAGGAAGAGAATCTGGTCGGCAAACGGAAGACCAGCGCAGCTGACTAATTCCCAGCAAAATTCTCAGACATATAATGTTGCTTTCTGACAAAAGAGGA